TGTTGTCATCATATCAAATGTAATATCGAATGTGCCGTCATAATATTGAATGTGTATCTGAATAGCTAGCAGTGACAACATCGAATATGCATTTGAATAGCTAGTAGTGACAACATCGAATGTGCACCTTGCCATCATCATTTATTATTGAATGTGCATCTGAATAGCCAGCAGTGACATCGAATGTGCATCTGAATAGCTGGTAGTGACAACGTCGAATGTGCATCTGAATAACTAGTAGTGACAACATCGAATGTGCATTTGAATAGCTAGTAGTGACAATATCGAATGTGCACCTTGCCATCATATGAATGTGCATCTGAAGACCCAGCAGTGACAACATGGAATATGCATCTGAATAGCTAGCAGTCAGAGCACCCAATGTGCATCTTAATAGCCAGCAATCAGAACACCCGATGTGCATCTGAACAGAAGTCGACTGTATGTACAAGCAGTCTCGATCTATCCTTTCCCAATTGGCATCTCGTAACGATTAATGGCCTGGATACTGAGAACGTCCATATCATATTCTCTCCTCCGACATCTTAGAATATGCCAGACGTTCCGGCTACGCATCCGCCGGCCACCCAGGTTATGTTTCAATACGGATATTAAACATTTCGCCTTGGGACGATGACTATCTCAACGACGATATTGTTTCAATATATAACCAGCTGAAGTATAACATGACAGAGTTGTCTAGTGGGCCTGTAGGTATCATCAACTCATTGTCTCCAGATTTCATATCACTAGTAACTTCTGTGTTCAGTTTATAAGGTGAGATGCTTGGTTGATCGATATCCAGATGAAGGCTGGAAGAAGTTATCAAGCGCACATCTTGTTCACACAGGGGTGTGGACAGAGAGGGTGACACCGTGGTCATAGCTGAAACACATACACAGACTATTGAAGAGTAGAAGAAAATTTATTGTATAAAAAAACCTTACAAGGTTATGTGCATATACAAATAAAATAATAGAAATATACACGAAACAAACAAAGGATACATGTATGGACATAATTCTACAAAGATACACAACTTCACTAATAAAATAAAACCAAGTACGAACAATCCAAACCATTAGATAAAATTCGAAGTCCTAAAAAAAACGGTATAGGCAAAATAGTGTAATAAGGCAAAATAGTGTAATCAGCATATGGACTGTTCACCGTTGAATGAATTGTATACATAAGCTCCTAAGCATTTTAACATTTCTATATTTTTATTCATCATCAGTATTTTGAATTGTTGTAAATCATTCAGTTTATAAACATTTGGTTCACGAAATAGAATTAATCTGAACAACGTTTTTCTTTTTTCATTTCTTTTGCAATTTGTTATCAAATTGATTTCGTCTACAAACGATCGTTTACGTCTAATTTTAAATATCTCCCTGTTTAAATTTTCAATTTATGTGCGCTTATTCTTAGATTTGTTAGTGCTTTTATGTGTTTTCGATTTCTTATATTTCCAATGGTAAATGCGAATACTAAACGATCTGTCGTGAAATGTAGTAACACGCTACTCGGATGGTGATAAGGCTGACACAAACAGATTTAGAGGGGGTTTCCATTTAGGCTTAGCCCGTCGCCCAATCCCATTCAGACGACCTTAATAAAGATATTGTTTAAAAATAAAACGCCCGTCTACGGCCATTGCGCTTTGCTTTAATTGCTCAATATATAATTAATATCTGATTTCAATCCCAAATTGGTGATTTGACATAGGACGTACTTGTAATTGTTGAAGTGCCTGTTGTGAACGGAAAACTTGTATTTTCCCACGTTTTAGAAGCAAGATGTATAATGAAATCAGCATTCCTTGAAAAAATGCTTTTGTGCCTTTAGTTTCATTTTAATTCCTCAATATATAATTAAGGTGACTGGATGACCGAATGGTTAGCCACGTGTGGGCTGCATCATACGGTCTGTCATTTGAGTCAACTTGCGTGGTTTCGATTCACCGGTTGTACATGTCCAACCTGGTGGGGTTTCACTGGGCCCCTCCCACTGCTAAAGATCCCTTACGTGCAAGCGAATTGTTGAAATAAAACTGAACCATATGTTAGTCTCGAAATGACCTCGTTTGTGTCGAGTGTACGTTAAATCTCATTTCACTCTCTCTCTCTCTCTCTTTAATTCCTAAATTGGAAGAGCCGGTTGCGAAAGGAAGACATGTATGTTTTTCCCCCCATAAAGTATTAAATTAAATAATAATTGTAGAATCAGTCTATGACATGCTTTATTATGACAAGATGTCAAATTAATCAAACATTCGATGTGAAATTATGTCCCCTGCGTTTCGTTTCAATTCCTCAATCCGTAACTAATACCCTGTCTCAATAAATATTTAATACCCGGAGATACGGAGTATTAGTAACTTATTCAACACAATTTGAAGCGCTGTTTGTGGGCTGAAAAAACTGTTATGTTGAGAGAGAGAGGGAGAGAAACACACACACACACACACACACACACAAACTAGGTCATTTCGAGACTAACATATAGTTCAATTTTATTTCACTAAATCGCTTGCGCGTAGAGGTTCTTTAGCAGTGGGAGGAAACCGACGAGGTTGGACACGTACAACCGGGTAATCGAAACCCCGCCAATTGACTCAATGACACGCTTTATGATACAGCGCGCACCCGCTAATCATTCGGTCACCCAACACCCGGAATATTTTTTATCATAGAGTATTAAATAAAAGTTTGTTGAAGTAGTATAATGGTTTTTTATGGCCCCAGCGTTACGTTTTAACTCCTCTATTCGAAACAACGGTTGCAAACGGAAAAAAAGTTCATGTCTCGATTCCAAATTGCTGTTAAAGGCATAGGGAGTACTTGTAATTTATTCAACACAATTTAAATTGGCTGTGGACGGAAAACAGAATTTTACCCCATAGCGTATTAAGTAAAAGTTAGTAGAAAAAGTATAATAACAGTTATCAACACGATGACAAGACGAAAATCACTATTATTATCTGATATCAAAACATCAAGGCTGACTTCATACAATTTACACCATCATTACTTTTAATAGAACGTTTTGACATTTAACACTATAAATAAGCGATCATTATCTGGTGTTTAAAGGAGCTAGTGTTTGTTTAATTATTATTATTTAGGTCAAATAAAATTAACGAATTTGGTTCCTCGTGTGTCTTGTTTCAAATAAACATACATTATGCAAGAGCTAAATCTGCCTATTGCAGGTCTTTCTTTAGGCCTGAAATGTTATCTAAATTATTAATTAGACATTAATTAACGTGACAAGACCATAATCAACTCTCAATTCCATCTAATCTATCCGATTTGCTGTTCAGCGTCCGTTGATGATTAAACTCAAAAACAGATAACCGAGACTTTGTTCGTTATCGTGACAGCGCTAACAATGACAAACGAGGCTACAGCGATTTTAAAATAAGGTTTTCTCAGTTTAATTTGACTGAAAGTTTAAGCATATACCCTTTACATCATCTAGGTTTTAACTATTATAGTGAGAATTGTCAACTCTTTATCTAATATCCCATAATGTATCTTTCATCATAGGGGTACATAATTTGAGTTTGATCAGACAAACGGCTCTTCAAATAATACCATTTTCAATTTTGTGATTTCGGAGAGAGAAAGAGAAATGGGGTTTAACGTCCACTCGACACAAACTAGGTCATTTCGGGACCAGCACATCTTTCGATTTTATTTCAATAATTTGGTTGCGCGTAGGGGTCTTTAGCAGTCGGAGGACCCGGAGAAAACGCAGAGGTTGGACAGGCGACGCTACTCCTTGTACGTACAGAAGGTAAATCGAAATGATGCCAGTTGACTCAATGACAGACCTTATGATACAACGCGCACGCGCACGTATAGCTTCACAAACTACTTCAACTTTGCTGTTATTTACATTCACGATGGCAATCCCCAAGAGAGTATTTTTAGAAATTTTATTCTCTACATTCCCTCGTAACTTAGTAATTACATTTAACACGATGTAGATTGTGTAGTGATTAGCACGAGTGTGTGTTCTGTTAACTAAGAGAATTTAAATTGAGTTAGACATTTAACACGAACAGCCGTTCTTCTCAACATAGCAGGATGTAGTTTAATCGCCATTCCCAGAAAGTTCATCCAGATTTTCCGGCGTGGTTCCCCCTTGTTAGTGAGGCTGGACGGATGGCCTGACAAGGACAGTTGTCTGGTCGTTCGGATGGGACGAAAAACCGAGGTCAGTACACATTGGCGTGCACGTAAAAGATCCCTTGACAGTTGGAATTCGATATAAGAGTAGGTCGTAGTGCTACTATCTGGGCACAATTTCCTCATAGCAGACTGTATGGCGTATGCCCGTCTTCATTAGCCCAGTTCGGAGCAGAACAGTAGGACGTTAAACCCCATTTCAATTCATATAAGACTTGTGGAATAACCAATTAACCCCCATGTGCGATACATTTGGTTCAAGTGATCGTTAATTCGATACTTTCCAAATAAGGAGTCCATGCCCATATCTCTCAACGGGGTAATGTTCGTAGTAGACATTACCTCTGTGGGAACCAAAACAGGTACTGCTCTTAAAGCAGAACATCAATGATGTGGCATTCGTTACTTCAATTGTGGCATTCGTTACTTCAAAGATGCGCCATTCGTTACTTCAATGATGCGCCATTCGTGAATTCAATAATGTGTCATTAAATACTTCAAAGATTGTCATTCGCTACTTCAATGATGCGCCATTCCTTATTCCAATAATATGATATGCGTTAGTCGTTACAACAACAATGTGTCATTTGTTACTCCAATAATGTGTCATTCGTTACTTCAATAAAGTGAAGTTCGTTACTTCAATAACGTGTAATTCGTTACGTCAATACTGTGCAATGCTCTACGTCAGTAGCGTGTTTTTCGCTACGTCAACAATGTGTCATTTCGTTACTTCAATTATGTGCCATCTGTTTTAATTCCCCGGTAACTGTTTAAATGATATTTACTTTGCTTTAGTCTTACCTGAAATTGTTCACCACTCCTTCGATATGTTTATTTATAATTTGCTGCTCCTGTAAAAAAGAAAACCACAAAGTTAGTTAATTATGATGTCTTTCATCGCCATATGTACTATTTTCATTTCCAGTCAAAGTGTCTGTAAGCAGTTTAACTTTTTCTATATATTTTTCCTAGATCATTTATCGTTTATCTAATTTTCTTGTAAGATGTTGTGAAATGTATGTGCTACCAGATTCTATTCTGTGATGTTTTACCACAAGATTTCTACAAGATATTGGACTATAAACATTTATCAAAATTACATATACAGATTCGCGTACGCGTTGTATCATAAGGTCTGTCATTGAGTCAACTGGCGTGGTTTCGATTACCCGGTTGTACGTGACAAAGAGTAGGATCACATGTCCAACTTCGTGGGTTTTCTCTAGGTTCTCCGGTTTACTCCCACTGCTAAAGACACCTACGCGCAAGTAAATTATTGAAATAAAATTGAACCATATGTTAGTTCCGAAATAACATTGTTTGTGTCGAGTGGACGTTAACCCCCACCCCACCCCTCTCTCTCTCTCCTCCCTCTCTCTCTCTCTCCCATCTCTCTCTCTCTCTCTCACTCTCACTCTCTCTCTACATTATATTGGTCTTTTTAAAAAAAAACCAGGGCTAAAACATTTATCAAAATTACATATGCAGGTTTATTTAGTCGCTAATATCCTGTAGAACTCTTGTAACAAATTCCCACACAAAAGACCCTAGACCTTGTCATAGATGCTATACACAGTTGTAGCAGAAGCGTAAATGATTTTTCTCTGCCGTGTTGTCCTGGTTAGCCGCAATTTGTGTTGGGTTTACATTACGCCCCCTTTCTCCCTCTGTATACATACTTCTTACGTGCCTCACACAGTTATAGTATATCAAGATAGGTGCTGTATATAATGGAAAGTCGCTGCTAAAGATCCATACGCGCAAGCGAATTATTGAAAAAAAATTGAACCATATTAGTTTGTGTCGAGTGGACGTTAAACTCTCTCTCCCTCTCCCTCTCTCTCTCTAATGGAAAGAACTAAATGCAAATACTGATAAGTTTTTTTTGTAATTTAACAGAACGCACACAGATTACGTTTAGTGATCCCCGTGGTATTACGTTCAATCCAGTAATGGTTCACATAAAATGCATCCATACTTGACAAAAAGGCAATACCGTACAGTTTAGTTTCGTATCTTTATCGTCTGCTTCAAATGCGCAACAAACAAACTGCGTTTGGCAATCCCCGTGGTAATATTAAGTTTAGACAATATACATGTAAGTGTTCAGGCATGTATAATAGATATAAAATGTATGCATACTTGAAGAATAGTTTTGGCCGTAGTTTCGTATCGTATATCGTCTACTCCAAATGCGCTCTATTAACCCCATTTTGAGGATTTGCGTGAATTAAAACTAAGCCACTATCGATCCGCGATCGTAAAATATAAGACATTGGCGGGTTTATCACAAATATTGAACGATGTCGTTCTCGGCGGTGCGGTTAAAAAACCATAAGAACTTCTCTATGAATGCTGATTAATTTATATTTCGGAATTCTATATTAGGTCATAATATACATCTGACGGCAATTACCGTCAAACTGTATTCAGGAAAGGACGGTTTATTAACGTTAAGGATTTATTCGTCCTTCAACCTAATAAAAGACGGCGAATTTTAGTGGATTAAAATTTATAAGACGCCGATTTTGATTGGTTTTAAATTTATTCACGGCATTAATAGGGCCATAAAAGAATTAGTCTTTTCAATTTAAAGTGGCAAGCGGTTTTATCTGTTTTAACATTTAAATTTTAATGTCCGCTGTCAATAAGAGAAATGGGGTTTGACGTCCACTCGACACAAACTAGGTCATTTCGGGACTAACATATGGTTAATTTTATTTCAATAATTCGCTTGTGCGTAGGGGTCTTTAGCAGTGGGGGGGGGGGGGGGCGGAGGACCCGGAGAAAACCCACGAGATTGGACAGGCGACCCTACTCCTTGCCACGTACAGCCGGGGAAGGCAATGGACAGCGTCTAGTCGTTGGGATGGGTCGATAAAATACAGATCCCACATACACTCTGGCGTGCACGTAAAAGAACCCTAGCCAGTTCAAATTTAATTACTGTCCGGGCCAAAAACACACGGCAAAGGGTATGACCGCCTTCATTAGACCGATAGGAATCCCAAATAATTCATTCGTTCAATTGACACACTTGGCTAAATCATAATGCAGACATTTATATAGCTAAAAGCATTTAGATGCAACGTATTCCAATTCCTCTCGGGATTCCGTAATCTAATTGAACTACAATATAACCCTGCCACTACAAATTAATCTTGACAAGATGTCGGATTAGTCACCTCCTTGTCTTTTCAGTCGGTGTTTTTGTAGCACCTGCATATTTTACCGCTTGATTTGAAATGTCATCTAACTCATTTAGATCTTGGATGACTGAATTTCTAGCAATAACCATTCTAGATAATTTAGATCCTGGATGACTGAATTTCTAGCAATAACCATTCTAGATAATTTAGATCATGGATGACTGAATTTCTAGCAATATCCATTCTAGATAATTTAGATACTGGATGACCGAATTTCTAGCAGTAACCATTCCAGAGAATTTAGATACTGGATAATCGGAATTCCTAGCAGTAACCTTTCTATGACCGAATTTCTAGCAGTAACCTTTCTAGATAATTTAGATACTGGATGACCGAATTTCTAGCAGTAACCTTTCTATGACCGAATTTCTAGCAGTAACCTTTCTAGATAATTTAGATACTGGATGACCGAAATTCTAGCAATAACCTTTCTAGATAATTTAGATACTGGATGACCGAAATTCTAGCAATAACCATTCTATGTTATATAGCTACTGAATGTACCTAGCAATAGGTTATTTTGAAACTTCATGTCCCAATCTCTATTAATAACCCTTCTAGATACTGGATATCCGAATTGTCCCATCCTAACGACTAGATGATATCTATTGGCAGCTGCGCTACAAACTACTCTTATTTCGTATTCCCACAGTCAATGGTTCTAACTTCAAAGTGTACAAGGTATCTCGGTTTTTCGTCCCATACGAACGACTATACGTTGTCCCATGCCAAGCCCCCGTCCACTGACAAGGCGGAAGCACACAAACAACGGGATCGAACACGGGAGCTCAACACGTCGTGATAACTGAGCCAAGACGGGTCCAACCTGGTGGGTTTTCTCCGCGTCCTCCGGTTTCCTCCCACTGCTAACGACCCCTACGCGCAAGCCAAATTATTGAAATAAAATTGGACCATATGTTAGTCCCGAAATGGCCTAGTTTGTGTCGAGTGGACGTTAAACCATTTCTCTCTCTCTCTCTCTCTCTGTTCATTGCCAGGCCCTCGTCCTGCACCATTGACAACGGGTAACTTTCTAGGCAAACACCGTGATGGACCTACAGGTTAGTGAGCCAACGTCCTACTCACTGAGCCACCAAAGAGCGAGAAATGGGGTTTAACGTCCACTCGACACAAACTTGGCCACTTCGTGACTAACATATGGTTTAATTCTATTTCAATAATTCACAGCTGTCTAGGGACGAAAAACCGAGGTCCCGTGTACACATTAGCGTACACGTAAAATATCCCTTGGCAGTTGGAATTCGAGATGAGAGTAGGCCATAGTGCCGCTACCCGGGTAAAATTTCCCCCATAGCACACTGTATAACGTATGCCCGTCTTCATTAGCCCAGTTCGGAGCAGAACAGTAGGACGTTAAACCCCATTTCATTTCATTTATACATTAATGGCGATATTATTGTCTGATCATGTTATATTCATGAATAATTTACCCCGTTCTCAAAAGTAGTTAAAACTCTTCGAACCAATGTAAACACAAACAAGTCAGTCAGAGATGAATGGTGTAGCAATATGGCGGAATAAATATGTAATTAGCGCCATCTATCAACGAAATGACAAATATTGTTCTCTTTCGACCAGATAATTCACATTACTTTCACTAATCTACAAAAATGTCGTCAATTTACTCAATATTGATAGCGATTAATCAGCTCTAATGGCCACTGGGATACAAATCTCGTCTACTCCCATTCTGTACGAGATTACTGGAGATTGTTAGTTTAGCTATTATCAATGCTTGGCTTTAACTGGTCTTAACGTATTAACGATTTACGTGGTACATTATAACACTTAAAGTGACACATACTATTATTATAACACTTAAAGTGACACATACTATTATTATATCACTTAAATGAAATGAAATGGGGTCTAACGTCCTACTCTTCTGCACCTAACCTGGGCTAATTGAAGACGGGCATACGCCATACAATGTGCTATGAGGGAAATTTTTCCCGGGCAGCGGAGCTACGGCCTACTATTATATCGAATTCCAACTGCAAAGGGATCTTTTACGTGCACGCCAAAGTGTACACGGGTCCTCGGTTTTTCGTCCCATCCGAACGACTAGGCAGCTGTCCTTGTGAGGCCCGCTGTTCTGCATCACTGACAAGGGGAAACCACTATATCACTTAAAGTGAAACATACTATTATTATATCACTTAAAGTGACACATACTATTAATAATATTATTATAACACTTAAAGTGACATATACTATTAATAATATTATTAGAACACTTAAAGTGACACATACTATTAATAATATTATTATAACACTTAAAGTGACACATACTATTAATAATATTATTATAACACTTAAAGTGACACATACTATTAATAATATTATATAACACTTAAAGTGACATATACTATTAATAATATTATTATAACACTTAAAGTGATGCATACTTTATCTAGAGAGAGAAATGGTGTTTAACGTCCACTCGACACAAACAAGGTCATTTCGGGACTAACAATCAATTTTATTCCAATAATTCGCTTGCGCGCAGGAGTCTTTAGAAGTGTGTTGGGGGGAGGGGGGACCCGAGGACATGGAGAAAATCGAGTGGACGTTATTGTTTTAATACTATAGTATTATTTATTTGTCACCATCTCAACCTT